GAGGGGGGGCAGGGGGTCTGTGGGGGAAGGGGCATTGTGGGGGGTGACTGGGCATTGAAAAGAAAACGGGCTTGGGAGTCTAACCCTGGTTTTGCCCAGTGGGCAAGAGGGATGGCTCAGGGAGGGGGGGCAGGGGGTCTGTGGGGGAAGGGGCATTGTGGGGGGTGACTGGGCATTGAAAAGAAAACGGGCTTGGGAGTCTAACCCTGGTTTTGCCCAGTGGGCAAGAGGGGATGGCTCAGGCCCTTCTCCAGCATCTCCGGGTGCTGAAGGCTGCTGGACCGGGCAGCTGCTGGCACAGAGTAGCCAGGCGGGTTGGGCAGCAGTTCGGGTGCCCTTGAGCAAACTGTCCAGAACCGCAGTGAGCTGGGGGGACACGGAGCCGCTGCAGAGCAGAGAAAACCCTCGAATCCAAACACGCAAAGGACAGTCTGGGGGTTGGGAAAAGCCCGGCTGGGAGCACCCTGCGTTCGCAGCAGCGTTCAGACCTGCGCTGCCAGCGACAGGAACGGATTTGCAGCCGCTCCCAGCCGCCCTGTTCAGGTGGGCTGGCCGGCAAGAGGTCTGGCTTTGACTCTGCCACCTTGCAGAACTCCCTCCACCTGTATGTGCCTCGGTTTCCCTGTCTGTACCGGGGCCTTTCCTACCTGCCCCTGAAGGATTCTGGCAGCTGTCAGGAAATCCGCTCTCCAGGTCCTGGCAGGGAAGCGCAGCAACAGTGCCAAAAGCCATCTAGAGGGAGCAATGGAAAGTCCGGGGCAGGAGGACAGGGAGCGCTGTTCCCCACATCTGGAGGATTGTGTTCTGTTCTGAGCACCTCTGCTCCAGAGGGGCGTGATCACAAGGCAGGGAGTCGGGAGGGCAACGGAGACGAGTGCCTAGGGAAGGGTGCAGCACTCTGGAGGAGCAAACAGCCCCTAGGGCGTGGGCGTGGCTGTGTCTCCGAGTGGCTGAAAGTCCCAGCACCTTTGGCATGGCGAGCTCTGTCTACAGGCCTGGCCCTGCTCTCCACCGGCTGGAGCGCTGGGCTGGCTCGGGACACAACACTCCCTTGGCCTTGCGGGAGGCACGTGGTCTCTGCCGTCCTCGTGTCCCTACGCTACACGGCCACCTTCCCAGCGCGGTGTGGTGTGTGGATCTGCTGTGAGGGTCCGAGACTGGAGAAATAACCTTCTTTCGCCTTCCGTTTCTCTCGCCTCACCACGCAGGCAGCTTTGTCTGCTTCTCAATGCAGAAAACATCTTCCACTCCATGGCGGACATCCTGCTGCGGGAAGAGGACCTCAAGTTCGCCTCCACTATGGTCCACACTCTCAACACAATACTGCTGACCTCCTCCGAGCTCTTCCAGCTGAGAAACCAGCTCAAGGACCTCAAGACCCCGGTATGTCGGGTAGGGTGGCCGAGGCTGGCCTGTGCCCAGGCAGAGTGGACTCCTGCAGATGTAGGCCGACAGCTGAGTGTGGGCTGGGAATGAACTTGGGGCAAGGCTGCGGGGCAGTGGGAAGGGTGCCTGGCCTTTTCCTCTGGCTGGTACGGAATGGCGTAGTCCTCTGGGCCCCCCGCATCGCGTCTGTCTCCTCCGTCGTGGGCCTGCTCCCGACTCACCTGATCTATTCCTGGCTTGAGCTTTTCAGCAGTACGGTGCGTCGAGGTGCAGGGAACAGCAGCTGAGAGTCAGCCCGAAGGGCCGGCCAGCCCTGTGCCCTGTCTGCCCACAGTGGCCAGTGCCCCGTGAATGCCCCACGGGGAGGGAACAGACCAGGGAGTCATCCAGTGATCCCTCCCCTGTCGTGCTCCCGACTCACCTGATCTATTCCTGGCTTGAGCTTTTCAGCAGTACGGTGCGTCGAGGTGCAGGGAACAGCAGCTGAGAGTCAGCCCGAAGGGCCGGCCAGCCCTGTGCCCTGTCTGCCCACAGTGGCCAGTGCCCCGTGAATGCCCCACGGGGAGGGAACAGACCAGGGAGTCATCCAGTGATCCCTCCCCTGTCGCCCCGTCCCAGCTCTGGGCAATTCAGGGACCCCCAGAGCTTAGGCTGGCGTCCATGGACTGAGCTGGCCCTCCGCGCTCTTAGCTTCACAGCTCCCCTGGGCACTGGTCCCACAGGCTAGACCAGTGTCACTGGGCCCTGGTTCTTGCGTCACCCAGTCGTGGCTTAGACCCTGGCCCGCTGGCTCTAGTCGGGCTGGGGCGTGGACGCGGTTCCGTCGCCCCCTGTACAAGGCGGGGGGAGCCGCCCGCGTGCTGTTCCCGACGAGGGGTACCACACGTTCTGCCGCTCTTTCCTAGCAGCTGCTGTTGGCTTTGCTGTCCCTCGGCGGCACGCTGCCCATGCTGGAATGGGAGGAGGGCGGTGCTGTACGGGGGTGCCAGTGGGGGCTTGGAGGCAGCCCCAGCTTCTCTTCCTGCCCTCCCAACCCCCCGCCGGCCTGAGGGGTGCCAGGTGCATCCTGCTGAGCAGCCCGTGTTGTCAGCTGATCTCACGGCATGCAAGCCTTTGTCGTGGGCCCACTGCACCCCGCGCAGCTGACGCAGGCACTCGCGGGACAGGGACAGGTGATGGTAGTAGCATCGCCCCATCACATTCCTCTGAGAGCCCTGTTCTCTGCCTCAGCTGCTGCCTGGGGCAGTACAGGGGCAGGGCAGCTCTCGGGGGGACTGGTTCTGGGGCCTGAAGGGTGGAGAGCCTCCCTCGCAGCCAGCTGGGACCATGGAGAGAGGCTGCTTGGCCCTGCACTGACCCTGTGTCCGAGACCAGAGGCAGCAGGAGTGGATACCAGGTGTGTGGGGTCTGAGCACAGAACGGCCTGCCTGGGAGCGTGCGAGGCTCTCCCCTGCGTGCGAGGAAGCGGTAGTGCTCTGGCGTGGCCTGCCTGTGAGTGTGAAAGGCTCTCCCCTGCGTGCGAGGAAGCGGTAGTGCTCTGGCGTGGCCTGCCTGTGAGTGTGAAAGGCTCTCCCCTGCGTGCGAGGAAGCGGTAGTGCTCTGGCGTGGCCTGCCTGTGAGTGTGAAAGGCTCTCCTCTGTGTGCGAGGAAGTGGTAGTGCTCTAGCACGGCCTGCCTGTGAGTGTGAAAGGCTCTCCTCTGCGTGCGAGGAAGCGGTAGTGCTCTGGTGTGGCCTGCCTGTGAGTGTGAAAGGCTCTCCTCTGTGTGCGAGGAAGTGGTAGTGCTCTAGCACGGCCTGCCTGTGAGTGTGAAAGGCTCTCCTCTGTGTGCGAGGAAGTGGTAGTGCTCTAGCACGGCCTGCCTGTGAGTGTGAAAGGCTCTCCTCTGTGTGCGAGGAAGTGGTAGTGCTCTAGCACGGCCTGCCTGTGAGTGTGAAAGGCTCTCCTCTGTGTGCGAGGAAGTGGTAGTGCTCTAGCACGGCCTGCCTGTGAGTGTGAAAGGCTCTCCTCTGTGTGCGAGGAAGTGGTAGTGCTCTAGCACGGCCTGCCTGTGAGTGTGAAAGGCTCTCCTCTGTGTGCGAGGAAGTGGTAGTGCTCTAGCACGGCCTGCCTGTGAGTGTGAAAGGCTCTCCTCTGTGTGCGAGGAAGTGGTAGTGCTCTAGCACGGCCTGCCTGTGAGTGTGAAAGGCTCTCCTCTGTGTGCGAGGAAGTGGTAGTGCTCTAGCACGGCCTGCCTGTGAGTGTGAAAGGCTCTCCTCTGTGTGCGAGGAAGTGGTAGTGCTCTAGCACGGCCTGCCTGTGAGTGTGAAAGGCTCTCCTCTGTGTGCGAGGAAGTGGTAGTGCTCTAGCACGGCCTGCCTGTGAGTGTGAAAGGCTCTCCTCTGTGTGCGAGGAAGTGGTAGTGCTCTAGCACGGCCTGCCTGTGAGTGTGAAAGGCTCTCCTCTGTGTGCGAGGAAGTGGTAGTGCTCTAGCACGGCCTGCCTGTGAGTGTGAAAGGCTCTCCCCTGCGTGCGAGGAAGCGGTAGTGCTCTGGCGTGGCCTGCCTGGGAGCGTGCGAGGCTCTCCCCTGCATGCGAAGAAGCGGTAGTGCTCTGGTGTGGCCTGCCTGGGAGTGTGTCAGGCTCTCCTCTGCGTGCGAGGAAGTGGTAGTGCTCTAGCACGGCCTGCCTGGGAGCGTGCAAGGAAGCAGTAGTGCTCTAGCACGGCCTGCCTGGGAGCCTGCGCAGCTCTGCCCTGCATGCGAGGAAGCAGTAGTGCTCTAGCACGGCCTGCCTGGGAGCCTGCGCAGCTCTGCCCTGCATGCGAGGAAGCAGTAGTGCTCTAGCACGGCCTGCCTGGGAGCCTGCGCAGCTCTGCCCTGCATGCGAGGAAGCAGTAGTGCTCTAGCACGGCCTGCCTGGGAGCCTGCGCAGCTCTGCCCTGCATGCGAGGAAGCAGTAGTGCTCTAGCACGGCCTGCCTGGGAGCCTGCGCAGCTCTGCCCTGCATGCGAGGAAGCAGTAGTGCTCTAGCACGGCCTGCCTGGGAGCCTGCGCAGCTCTGCCCTGCATGCGAGGAAGCAGTAGTGCTCTAGCACGGCCTGCCTGGGAGCCTGCGCAGCTCTGCCCTGCATGCGAGGAAGCAGTAGTGCTCTAGCACGGCCTGCCTGGGAGCCTGCGCAGCTCTGCCCTGCATGCGAGGAAGCAGTAGTGCTCTAGCACGGCCTGCCTGGGAGCGTGCGAGGAAGCGGTAGTGCTCTCGCACGGCCTGCCTGGAAGCGTGCGAGGAAGCAGTAGTGCTCTCGCACGGCCTTGCTGTTGCTCTCAAAGGAGAGAGACGCCTGGGAAGCAGCCAGCGCCAGCTTCTCTAGGCGTCATCTGTTTCCCAAGACTTCCCTGATGTCTTCAGCCCTCCTGGCTCCCCGCAGGTTGTCTAAAGGAGCTGGCTGGCTCTAGCCCCTTCAGAGCCCTCCCCCACCCTCTGCTTTGCCAGGCTCAGTGTCCAGGCCTCCTGTTGGGGGACCTCTCCCTGGTCCTAGGGCCTCCCCCACACAGTGCTGCGCCACTGCCCCTCTGTCCTGCTTTCCTGGCACGTGGGTCGGAGCCCTGCTGGATCGTCAGGTGGGCAGCCGTCCGATCCAGGCCAGCAGCGCCCGCACTCCCTCGGGCTGGTCCTGCCCCTCGGGCGCTCTGCTGCTCGGCCGGGGTCGGGTGACCCCTCGTGCGCCGCTGACTACCAAGGAGAACTGTTGGCTCTTTCCGCAGAGGCAGATGCCCGGTGGAAGTCGGCCCCTCCTAGCTACCCCTTGCTGTGCTGTGGTCCCTGCCCTCCCGCACAGTGGCATCAGCACGGTGGTACCCCTACTAAGTTAAGGGGCTGCCAGTTTCCCAAATTCCCTCCAGCTTTGGACGTGGCCCGGAAGATCCCAGCCAATATCCTGCCCCTGTTTTGCAGAGTCCTGGAGAACTGGGGCACTGATACTTGACAGTCCCAGCGCTCCACATGCCCCAAAGAGCTTTCGTGTAACCGGAGTGCAGTGCAGCCAGTGCTGGGGTGGAGACAGCCAGCTAGTGCCCCGCTCCACCGGAGTCTGCCAGCCCGTCCCGGCAGCCGTCCGCGGCCCCATTTCCAGCCTGCTCCACAGATGCCTGCTGAAAACAAGCGGCCAGTGGGGCAGGCGTTTCACAGGCACTGGCCACTTATGGTAATTACATGCAGCGAGCCAGGGCCGGAGCAGGCCGTTGGCTTCTGTAAACACCACTGTGCGTGCACAGCCCAGGAGTGTCCGGGTCTTGTGGCACTCGAGCCCTTACTGTTGGTGCAAAGACCCACAGAATCCAGCTCTGGAAGGCTCCGCTGAACTGTCGGCCCCCGCCCCCATGTGTGGGTCCAACTTCCCACTGCTTCCTCTTTGCCCAGGAAAGCCGGAACCTGTTCTGCTGCCTGTACCGCTCCTGGTGCCACAACCCCGTGACAACCGTGTCCCTCTGCTTCCTCACCCAGAACTACAAACACGCCTACGACCTCATCCAGAAGTTGTATCCTTTGTGCTGCTGCCGGCGCAGCCAGGGGAGCGTGCAGGGACGAGCAGGCAGGCGGGGGGGCTGCGTGGAGCCGGCAGGGGCAGGCGGGGGGG